TAAATACTGCTCCCTACGGAGGAGCTGAGAGCCCAGTTCTGCGAGTTGTCTTTACTTTTGGACATGCAGAGAAAGAGAGAATTTTAGCAGCCTAGTGGAGAACAGTTATCTCCCCCAAGTTCCTTTCCCTCACCTCCACCCCCACTGATTGTGACAGGTCGTATATTTGATTACACAAAATAAATTGGGAAATCATATCTCTGCAGTCCCATCTGGGATTATTTATTTCGCTGCATCCACAGCCGGTCAAAGTCGTGAGACTGTACAATGCTAAGAGAAGCTTTCCACGAGACGAGGTGGATTCGAGGTCATCTTTGGAGAAATTAGAGCCATAACTAGCCACAGAAAGGTCCTTCTACAAGATGCCCAGAAGTTTCTAAACATCAGTCACCACCCCTGGCTCTGCGGCAGGTTGATTTAGCATGGCATCTGAGCTGGTGGTAGAAAGGGGGGAGGATTCCCACCAGCCGCTTTCTGCATCTCGAGGCCAGAGAGTCTGGGCAGTTGGGCGGAGTCCGGAGGAAATCAGGACTTGAATTTCCCCCAGTCTGGAGCTCTGTATGGGCTAGTTGGTTGAGATGAAATGATAACAATAATATAAATAACTCTCAAGTACTGACTGCTCAGCATGGGCGAGTCACCCTGTCAGGTTGCCAAGTACTCTAAGGCTAATTCTATTTTGCAGTTGAGGAAGGGGAGGCACAAGAGAAAGGTTAAGGATCCTTCTTAGCATCCCCTGGGCCAAGGAGTGGCATATCTGGGCTCTGAGTTTCCCGCGCGCGCGGAGGCGCAGAGCCCTGGCTGGGAATCCGCAGAGCGCAAGCCCAAATCCTGGCAGCTGGGGCCCCATGAAAGGCATAAGCAGGCTGGAGTGGGGCAGAGGGGCCGCGGCTCCATGGCCAGTCCGGAGATGTTGGATGAGTGAGTAGGAGACAATTTGAAACGCACTTCCTCCTTTTATTTAATTTACTATTAGTTTTTATTTTTGGAGAGGTGTTTGGAGAAAGGAAAAAAAAAGTCACACCAAGAAAAGAAAAAAAACTCTGCTCCCTCCTGATTTTTTTTTTTTTAAATTCGGGTTTCCTTGCTTGTCTTGCTAAAGGGGTTCTCACCAGATGGGAAGGGGTGCAGATCAAGAGAGTTGGGGGGGAAGAAGAGGGGAGCATGGGGGAACCCCACCCCTCTCACCGCCTCACAGAGATCCACTCACTGAATCAACTGAGGTGCCTGTGCTTGGTAATTTGCAAGAGGGACTCTGAACTGTATGTTGTAATATAGTGTCGGTTTACAAGCCAAAAGCACTTCACTGAACACATCATTGGTCTCCCCTTGGCCCCTTTTAAGAAAGAGACCTCTAGAGCAGAGCTGAGTCCTTTTGTCTCCTCCTTTTCAGTCAAGCTCCAGGAAGCATTCAGCAACCTTGCTGTCCCTAGGCTGCAAGTGCTGTCACCTCATGAAGAAAGGAATGTCCATAATGGAGCTAGAACTCAAAGACCGTCTAGCCTCATTATTACCCAGTCTTCGCAAGGAGCCAGGCCAAGAAAGGGCACCCTTCCCATTTTGCAGATGAGGCAACCGAGGAGTGAAAGAATAACTGACTAGGGTCGCACAGACAATGGAACAACAAGCTCGAGCTCAAGCTCTCTGCCTATTTCTTCTGAGAATATAGTTTACTAGCCAGTTTGCATAACTGTGGATTCCTTTCATAGTCCAATCAAAAGTATTATAATTTTCCCCCAAGGAAAAGGCACATAATTTCCAATTCAGTATGGTAGCTTCTCAACATCCTGAAGTTCTTCCCAGGAAAAACCCTCTCCCACCTCCCCCACAGCATTTCACTTCCCAGAGATTAGTGGGAGAGGGGTTCTCTGGAGGCATTCAGGGAAGGAGGATGGAGTGTAATCCAACAGGATCATGATTACAGCTGCTTGCCCCCAAGTGAAACAGATGGGGGTGTAGGGAAGGAAGGACAGGCTGGGAGGGGGATAGGTGGAGATAGGCAGGATATCTAGAAAGGGCAGCCCGAGCACTCTTTTGCAGATTCTTGCTGAGGAGTTGAGGGAGTGCTGGCCAGGAAATGTTCTTGGGTCCATCCACCTGGAAGCCACCAGTCTAGCTCCTCCAGGAAGCTCTAGTAATCTGCTTTCCCTACTTCTGGGCCCCATGAAGTAGACACAGGGGGAAAGGCTAGCCCCATCTCAGCCAGAACATTCCCAGGGACTTGTCTTCTTTTTCTTTCCAAGTCCCAGGTGTCAACTCCACTGTTCTAGGCTTCCCCAACCCCAATCCCATCTCCCCTCTTGAGTTCAATTGTCGAGGTTTATTGTTTTCTCACTATATAGTTTTTAGAACTTGAACTAGTTCAAGGGCTGCTCAGCTAGTAGTTTACTTTCAGTTTAGGAAACAGTCTTTCCCTCTTCTGTTCTCTCCCTTCTCGTACTGTCCCACTTCCCCTCAGTGTAGTTACCCAAAGGTAGCAAGTCTTTTTTCTGGACTTTGTTAACATTAATTTTAAATGCGGGTTAATGATTTCATCTTGACCTGCATGCTTGGGCTTAAAAGCAGTAAATAAAATAAAAGCTCAGTTTGCCAACCCCTGCACATACAATCTGCTCCGGTGGTGGAAGTATATAGTTTGCTTGCAACAGGTCTGTGGGGCAGAAACACTGAAATGCCTGTTTTTAAAGATAGAAATGTGGATAGCACAAGGAGATATGGAAAAAACGAGAATGATTTGATAAGCAAACAAATAAAAAAAGTTTCATGTTATATTACAAGGGTGCCACTCCTAACTCCAAGTGGTAAAATCAGAGTGGTGCAGGGAAGTAAACAAAACAAAAACCGAACAAACAAGGATGCACTGGCAAACCCACTGGGGACTCCTCAGCAGAAGTTTCTGAGACTTCAGAGCAGAGGCCAAAGTAGGACCAAAGTGCTTAAGCCAATCCACGACTCTCCCCTGGATCTCTGGGTGACCTAGGACTCATTTCTGAACTTAGGTTCATCACTGGAAGAACAGGGATAATAACACATTTTTGCTGTGGTCAAGAATTCACACGCTCCAGCAGAGGTGTGAAAAAAAAAAAGCCCTTTAAAGAGATACACAAAAGGTAAAACTCATTGGTGTTTATTAGGTGGTTCCAAGGAAAGGGCTGGAAGGTTCCTGTGATCTTTTGTCTCCTGTCCTAACAGGCTTGCACCGCTCCCAAATCAGTCTCAGAGAGACTCCTAGAGAGATTAAAATATCTCAACGAATAAGTCTCCTTGAGCATCGCCAGCAGCTCTGTGGAAAAGCACCAGCACAAATGGAAATCTAGTGCCTGGTGGCCAGGGAAGAACTTAACATCACCAAAGGCACGGGGATACCTGCCTTTCCAACTGTCCGCATTAGTTTCAGTCTTTCCTAAACAGCCTTTGTTCCCACTTCTCTGAGCCTGATTAACTTCTAACATTCTGATAGAATCATAGAAAAGTAATGTTAGAAGCAGTTCAGCAATTTACTTCACCCAACAAATTTTTATTGTCAGTCTACTATGTATGTGCTCAGTACAAGGACATCGAATTTCTTAATCTGTTTCCTACACCGATCCTACTTGAGAGGACTTGACTAAAGATGGAACGAGAAAAGCTTCTATGTAAATTTTAAATATTTAGTTCAAAAATGGAATGCAGCATTGAAATAGTTTATTAATTCTTTCGATTTGTTGGAAATTTAATTTTCTTTTAGACATTTTTATGGAGGATTTTTTGAGGGAGATGGAAGAAAGTTTTTTTTTTTAAATGCATTCCTGCATAAAAAGGAATTCTTTTTTTTTAGAACTTTGCTTAAATGCATTCTTAAATCGACTCTACTGTACTGTATTTCTTAGAGGCGTGCATTTCCATTCTCTCCAAAATTAATTGTAATAGCTATTGAAAGCAGAAAAAAAAAACTTGTAGTTGAGTTGGCCACCTGCCTAACAAACTCTATGAAAGTTAATGAACTATTTTGCATTCTTGAGGAGGAGCAGCGCTACCCACAAAACTCCCACAAGTATTTGTACGTTAACTAGGCTCCAGGGTGCAAGATAACCGTTAATTTACTAGTGCAGGAGAAAAAAAGGACGGCGCTGTGTTCCCGATTTCAGTGGCCTTATCACCGCGCCCAACTTTGGTCAGTGATTGAGTCGCAGAAATACTGAAGATGCTGATAATGCAGAGACCAATGCTAGCTTTTTCTATCTCTTATTTTTTACCTTCTGTTGTGGACAACGCGATTCGTAACAGGGTGTCTCTGCCCATTTTCTAGTCGGTGAGATAAATGGCGATTTCTTCCCCGCAGGTGTCCGCACACTTCAGATTTAGCTGCCGGACCAGGGACCCGGCTGCAGCGAAGGCCTGGCGGCCCGACTCTGGCTGAGAGTTCCGCAGGGAGGAGCGCCTCTACCGCACCGAGGAGGAGGGCGCCGGGTCGGCGAGCTTTGACCAATCAGCTTGCACACCGCCTGACATCCGGCCAATCAGAGGGCTCGAAGCTCCGGGACCAGAGTGGATAATACAAGGAAGGGGAGCCGAGGCTGGAGACTGAAACGGGTGGCTCCGCGCAGAACGCAGCTGCTGGCGTCCGCTCCCAGATCTGGAGATCTGAGCCGAGCCGGGGCTGTCCGACCTTTCCCCACCCAGCTTGGGTCAGAGGAAGCCGAAAGTGGTCTCAGCGAAGTGAAACGCCCGAGGGTGCAGAGGACCGAACACAAGTTCGCTGAGTTCGGGATGTGCCGGGCGAGGTTGCTGAGGACTTGACTCCCCTCATCCCCTTCTCATCTCTCATCCTTCCCCACTATCCAGTGGGCTCTGAGCCTCCAGCAATCAGCACACTCCCACCCCCGATTTCTTGGCAAGGGGTGCAACCCTGATTTCTCCTTGTATGCACATCCTGCAGCTTGAGAACCAGATCTCCAAGCTGGATATCTTTTGACTCGGCTGATAGCCCGGGGCCTCAAAGTCTTGGTGAGTGCTGTGATGCGGCTTTGGGTGTCAGGGAGGGCTGAGTCATCTTTCCTTATCTTTGCTATTTTACTTGGATGCCTTGTTCTAAAGATATAGACCAAGCCCTATGCACACAGAACCCTGTGCGGTCCAAGTACTATTGATGCTAGAAGGCATCTGCATCTTTATTTCCGTTGTCTCTCTGGAGCTCTAATGACAGCATAATGTTGATTTTCAACTGAGTATTTGCGGGGTAAGGGAGTGATGAAAGGATCTCTTCAAGTCCACCGAGGAGTACTTGTGGTGTTGTAGGTTGATGAAAGACATTTGGGAAGCATGGAATGGTAGATCTGAAGGGTCCTTTGTAATCAAAAGAAAACTAATTATTCCATCAATGTTCTTATATTCACCAATGGCCATGCTTGTAAGGTATGGGAAAGCTTGACAAGTGGCCTAAATTGGCCTAGTTGGACACAATACATACGTGGTTGGAGTCAGTGAATTATTCAGGGACTTACTTATCCAGAAAGTCATATTAAGCCAAAGAGGGTCACTGTGAAAAGTCGGGTGCTCACAGAGTACTTGGAATTAATAAAATATAATCCTTGCTGGTTGCAGATCCCTGGGACCCCTAGAGATAACAAGACCGACATGTGAGAGACATGTAGAGGATAGGGTACATTAAGGCGATAGGTTGGCAGACAAAAAACTGTAAACCTGAAATTCAGGAAAATCTCAGGGATGGTCCCTGATGGCCGCAGGTGGGTTTTTGGGCTTATTTGTGTCTCCCCAGAGTGTGCGCAGCTGAGCCAAGCGAGGCACCGCGCGCAATGGCCGACCGGCAGGCAGGCCCAGGGGCCGGGGACTGGGAGATTGACGTGGAGAGCCTGGAGATGGAGGAGGACTGCTGCGGGGCACCGCCAACAACGCCGCCGGGGCCCAGCCCGTCACCCGCGGACGGGGATGGCGAGGACGATGAGGAAGATGATGAGGAGGACGACGACGCGGAAGAAGAGGGCGACGGCGAGGAGGCAGGGGCGTCCCCGGGGGTGCCGGGCCAGTCGGAACTGCACCGAGGACTGCTGCCCCGGCCGCCCCCGGCGCCTCAGGCCCTTCCAGTCCCTGCCAGGGCAGTAGAACGCGGCGCGAACGCGGGCGGCAGTGTGGAACCGCGTAAGCTGAGCCGCACGCCCAAGTGCGCGCGCTGCCGAAACCACGGCGTGGTGTCCTGTCTCAAGGGCCACAAGCGATTCTGCCGCTGGCGAGATTGCCAGTGCGCCAACTGCCTGCTGGTGGTGGAGCGCCAGCGCGTCATGGCCGCCCAGGTGGCGCTCCGGAGGCAGCAGGCCACTGAGGTGCGTACCCACCAGATCCGGGGCGCGCTTCCCCTGTGCGTCTCGGGCCACGATAAAAATCTTGTTCGAAAGGGACGCGACACTTCCTCGGTGTTGGCCCAGGGCGTCGGGGCGCCGGGCTCTTCTGCGGAAGGGTGATGGGGACAACTCTGCGCACATTGGTCTGTAGGATTGGGAAGGAGGTAGGGATAGCGCCGGTCATCACTGAGAAACTTGGGGTAAAAGAAAATTTTTGTATTAAGAAGGAAGAAGACATAGAGATAAATATAGACACCTTGAAAATAATTAGGCCCATTTGAATCATTATGAGAAAATCGTTTCATTTTTGTTTTTTACATTTTCAAGTTAATTTTGGTGATGTTCTGGCGAGGGAGGGGGAAGAGAGTGGTTGTCACGCGGAACAATTCTTCGTGTACTCCTAGTGCGCATAGCCTAGAGGAATAATACACACAGCAAGCTGTGCGTGCGGGTAGTGCTTCCACTGTTAATTGGCTTTTGGAAAGAGCTTGCTACCCAGGTTACAGAAGAGACGAAAAGTGCTTGGGAAGTTAGGTGCCCGCAGCTACTGTTTATGCAAACTGCCAAAGAACCAGAGCGGCCTCCCACCACTGCAGCTCCGGTTTTGAGGACAGCCTGTGTTATCTTCAGGGTCCCTGCATTTGGAATGCTCAGCCTGAGCGAGGCCTTCCCCAGCTTTTTGACACCTCCTCACTCCGCAGCCTGTGCAGGAAATCCAACCTACTATCCGCATGCTAGGCAAGCGTTCTACCGCTGTGCTACATCTTCAGCCCATAGGAGAAATTTATTTTACTTTTTTGGTGGAGAGGGACTGGCAAGTGGGACATCATACATACCAAAGCCAGTTATCCCCAAGGAAAGCCTCCCAGAGAGCACTCAGGGCCACCATGGGGTTCGATCATTCCTGTGTTGGGCATGGTTCATCACGGGGCCCTCCATTCCTGTACTTCCCTGCCGCCCCCCTGGATTGGATGCGGGCGTGGAAGGGCTCGGAATCTCACTGACTTGATGGTGACCTGAGGGCTGAGTGAGAGGGTACCCTTATCTTATCTCCTCAGCGGCCTCCAAAAGTTTTGGGAGCTTTCAAGCGCACCCCAGTTGCCTAGTGAACAAAATGGCATTTACAACCAGACTCTGGAAATTCTGACTTTCCTCAGCACTACCCAGCACTCCACCCCTCCTACCCTATTTCTCAGAGAAACTCTTCCCGCATTATTGCCCAATCCTGTTCCTGGGCTTACTGGGTGCGCAGAATACTCTTCAAGCAGGGCTCCTACTGTCTCTTCACTATGGATTTCACCTCCCCTCACTTCTGGTCACAGGTATTCTTTGGGGTGAGTCTGTGAGTGATTCCGGTAGAGAAAGCCTGGAGTCCTGCTCACCAGTTGTCGGTTTCAGAGATAGCCTCCACCTCCTTGCCTAGGGGTGCTGATATTAATTTGTTTGGAATCTTTTTTTTTTTAACCATGGGATGACAAAATAAATATATTTAGGCTGGTAAGGGTTTCTAAATGCCTTTCTGATACCCCTTCCCTCTCCCTTCTCTTTCTCACAAAATCTTTCAGGATATTATTTTGTTTCTTGTGTTTACAGGACAAGAAGGGGCTTTCCGGGAAACAGAATAATTTTGAACGCAAAGCAGTGTACCAGAGGCAAGTTAGGGCACCTAGTTTGCTGGCCAAAAGCATTTTAGAAGGTAAAGTAATGCCAAATTATCCTTCAGCTTTTTAAACCAAGTTGAGTGACTCTCATTGCTCAGGCATATGACATATTTATTAACCTCTGCAGGAGCTATCTGAGAAGACACTTTTTATTAGTAAGTTTTTCTCTTTTAGGAAGGAAACCAGGATATAGAAAAATAAATCTAGTGTACCTGCCAAGATTTTTAGTCACCATCAGTTTAATAATCCTAATAATTTTGTCATCTGCTTAATAGTTAATGGTTAAGATAGAAGACATGAAATTGTAACAGTGTGAGAGGGATGTACAAAGACATACCACCAAGTGATCCTGGGGGTAGATGTTTTGCAAAAAAAGAAATTCTCTTTTTCTGTGTGTGCACACGTACACACACACACACACACACACACACACACACACACACACTTTCTTTAGTTGTATCAGGAGCTAAATGTACAGAGTGAGTTTAACAGCTACCCATGGACAATAAGGACCTCTAGTCTGGGTCTCAACATCAGATTCCACCACTTTTCAATGTACAATTTTCCTTTCTAGATATATTGGTAATATTCCACACTTCATTTTCTTGTCTTTGATGGTCAAGATTGTAGAATCTGAAAAAGATTTTGAATCAAACAATTAGAGTAGAGGTTTAAACTAAGTAGAGTGAAATCTGTAACTCTTGTCAGACTTTCATTCTGTCTAAAGCCTAACGATATGTTAATTTAAAAAAATATTACCTGTTTTAAAAAAATTCTTTATTTGGATATGAAATTTATCTTTTGACATGCTAAGCAATACCATGACTATCTTTCGCCATTTTCTATATACTTTCTTTTAATTTAACTATATATTACCTTATATTTTGCTTCTTCATAAAATTCTCCTTGAAAAGTTGATTTGTTTTTCTTGAGGTAGACATTTGAGTTCTGCATTTTTTGTGTAACTTCTGAATTTGGTTGGTTCTGGATAAGTTTTAAAGTTTGTTCCTGTCTCACCCTGTGTTGTGCACTTCTGACCTTAGAGCGGGTTCTCATGAATTAAGTATGAATTTGGTAAACAGATGTATACCAACCATAGGGAGGAGCACGTTGGTAAATTGAAATTTTGCCAAAGCAACTTGAGAAGTTTGAGGACTTGCATGGAATAGTAAATTTAAGTAAATAACTTCCTGGCAAACACTTGGCATAGAAATGGAAACATTAATTTTCAAATTTTATTTTATTTGCAAATGAGTATGATGGGTTTGTCACTATGTAAATACTAATATCACAATGGGTTCTTCAAACAAACTTGATAGTGGTGTCTGAGGATGATGAAATGCTCAAATGTTTTATGCTATCAGGAATTCTATTTATATTATACTAATCTTTGTTTTTGACTTTGTCTCTCTTCACGTAATATGCAATAGCTTAATCTGTGTTCTAATGATAACTTGTTTACCTGTTTTGGTATCTGGCCAACCTTATTGGAGCTTGGGAAAAATGCTTTAAACCTATTATTTTCAGTATAGCAGGGGATATTGCTCCCTCCCCCCTCATTTTGTTTTGTTTTGCTTTATTTATACTTGTAGTCAGGGGAAGGCATGATTAAATTGTTCACTGCAAAGCGTGTTGGGCTAGTTAACAGCTCTTTTCAATTTTCTATGCTTCTCTGTTTCCTTAAGTCTTTTTTTTCTTTCTCTCCTCACTAATGTCCTTTAACTTTCTTTCTTTCTCTTTTTTTTCCTAGTTCTCCTTGGATTATTCTACAACTGTATCAATGTGTACATATGAGTCATCTTTAGAAAATAAAAGTGACATCAGCTCTAGGTATAGCTATCTTTTTTAATAGTGAAAAAAGATGACATGGAAAATAAAATACTGAAGCCAGATGGTCAGCTTTGTCTCTTACTATGCAGGGATCTGGGAAGAATATTAAAATCTCAGTTAATAATGTACACTTGTCAAAGAAAACAAACCTATACCAACAAAACAACAGTAATGAAAAATTTTAATGTGAATATCCTTTTCCCAAAGAGACCCATTTAAAATCGAACCTATAGTTTTGCTTTCTGTATAAGAATATTAGTGACATAGAGATAGTTGTTCTGCTGGTTTGTGGTGTTTCTTTTGCCTTCTGGATTTTCAGAATTTTCTTTCCTAGTTGTTAATCTCTACCCTGTGCACTGTTTGCTTATTTTAGGCTATCGTCCCATAACAGCGGAGACCTACCTAGGAGGCACCCTACCTCTACCTCCCCCAGTTAGTGACAGGATGAGGAAAAGAAGGGCCTTTGCTGACAAAGAGTTGGAGAACATTATGCTGGAGAGAGAATATAAAGAGAGGGAGATGCTGGAAACTTCCCAAGCTGCTGCCTTGTTCCTGCCCAACCGCATGGTGCCTGGACCTGAATACAACTCCTACAAAAGTGCCTACAGCCCCACCCCAGGGGAACCGCCCAACAAGGACTTCTGCAATTTTTTGCCCACCTGCCTTGATCTCACCATGCAGTATTCAGGGTCTGGGAATATGGAACTAATTTCTTCTAATGTCAGTGTGGCCACGACATATAGACAGTACCCCCTGTCCTCCCGATTTTTAGTTTGGCCCAAGTGTGGCCCCATTAGTGACACTCTCCTCTACCAGCAATGCCTGCTAAATGCTACCACCTCAGTTCAAGCCCTGAAACCTGGGGCCAGCTGGGACCTGAAGGGAGCACTGGTTCAGGATGGACTCAGTGCAGAACACGACATGATGCCACCCAAACTGGAGGGTTCCCTTGTGCTGCCACACACGCCCGAGGTCCAGACCTCTAGAAGTGACCTTCAGGGTCACCAGGTTGTCCCAGAGAGGTCTGCCTTCTCCCCACCCCAACGGAATTTCTCTCCCATTGTTGATGTGGACTCCCTGGCAGCTCAAGGGCACGTCTTAACCAAGATCAGCAAAGAAAACAGCAGGCACCCTCTGCCACTTAAACATAATCCATTCCATTCATTATTCCAGCAAACGCTTAATGACAAATCAGGTCCTGAGTTGAAAACACCATTTGTCAAAGAGGCCTTTGAAGAGACCCCAAAGAAACACAGAGAATGTTTGGTCAAGGAGAGCCAGAAGTACACATTGACAATAGATAGGTGTGCAAAGGACCTTTTTGTAGCCAAACAGGTTGGAACAAAACTCTCAGTGAATGAACCGCTGTCATTTTCTGTTGAGTCTATTCTCAAGAGGCCTTCGTCTGCCATCACTCATGTGTCTCAGTGAAAGGCTGCTTAAGTGGAAAGCTGGATTTTCTGCAATCTCAGTCCTTGCCATGTACTTTTTTTTTTAAAGTTAAAATGTTTGTGTAAAGAAATTTCTAATGTAAGTGATGATGATTTCTAAAAATTCTATATATTCATATGCATGTACCTTTTCTTAACACATAAATATATTTAAACTTAAAGATGGACATTGCTTAATGTGCAAATTGTAAAGTTCTGTGCTTTACACAGCATTTCATAAAGCAATAAAATTGACACTATCTTTTAAAAGACCCAATGTTTGCTGAAGCAAATAGCTGTTTCTGCCTAAATGAAAAAGCGACTGTTTATGAAATGTGTTCTTTATTTTTCTATGTTTCAATGTATTTTCCAGTGCTCTTACTGATCACTGGGCCCCCAGGAAAACTCTTATAATGCATTAGCTTTGCACTTTTTTTTTTTTTTTGTGTGTGTGTGTGTGTGTGTGTGCTGGTGGGGAAGGATCCTTGAACATGCCAGGCTAAAGTTCAGCTCACTGAACTTCATCTCCAAACCTAGCTTTGTGTTTTGAAGGGCATATAAGTTTAGCTGTACAAGACAGGACAAAATAACTTTAAGGAGAATGTTAGGGCTGTTTGCATTTTTTCATGTTCATAGAATAGTAATTTCATATAGTTGATTATTTTGAAGGAAAATCAAGTGTAACGTCTCATCTCTGTGACGATGTGGGTTCTTGGAATGGATTTCTTTTAACTGGGCCTTGGTTTCTCTGCTATGGCTGGTGTGTGAGAACCCCCAATCCTCCTTTTCAGGAAAGAAACATCTATTTGAACATTTCTGGTTCCTTTGAACAGTCTATGATTGCAGGTCACTAGGGGGCCACAAGGCAGATTCTCTTGTTGGGTGCCATCAGTTCAGCCCATGGTGGTGCCAAACCTCTTCTCGGCTCTTGTGTTAGTCTACTGTTTGAGAAAGGTTGGTGATAATGGGCATATAGAGTCAGGCTCAGGCACAACTCAGCTGCTCCCTGGGTACCAGCTTTATGCCTTTGCATTGACACCAGTGTCACAGGATTTCGGTGTAGTTTTCTTCTGACATACAAACATTGTCTATTTCAGTTGCTTCAGCTGACAGTTGCTGAAGCCTGCAGATGTTTATCACAGCATGAGGGTGGCTTCTCAAGAGTCTTACACTTTTTCTTCCTTGTTTTATGTTCCTTGTTACCCTCTTGTTTTTCTCAACAAAATGTTAACTAATGTTACTCGTTTTATCATGAGTGATAAAAGAAGAAAAGACATTTATAAGAGTATTAAATTCATCCTTTAAGATCTCACCTGTGGATCCTAAATCAAGTTCTAAGATATCTTAGTCATCTCAGTATACAAAGCAAAGAGCCAAATATCTCACCTTTATTGTTGCTACGAGGCAGGCCTGGGTAACAAGAACACTGAAGTGGAGGAGGGGTGGGCTGTGGAGTGTGCCAAGTGCTCAGCAGTTTAAAGATTTTATTTCTTGCTCTTGAAAACACATAAAATTATTTAAATATGATTTTGCTACTGACGAGCTCACGTAAACCTCCAGGGGTTCTCTGACTTGTTGCTTAAAATTAGCATCAATTTCAAAAACAACAAACCAACCGTTAAGTTGATTTTCAGTCTGTACTTGTAAAATAATATGCAGTTTTGTTGAGTCAAATTTATTTATTTTTACTGTTGCAAATGCCAGAATGAAGGGACCGTTGCCAGAGGAAAGAAAATGAAAGCAGACTGAGATTCCAATAACTGTTGAAGATTATCATTAAGTGGAAAAGTGTTTTCCAGCCAAGTATGCTCTGGTATTAGAGAATCTAACTCCAATTTCCCCTCTTGGTCATCTCTGCTCTATCTATATAGTCCCTCATTTTTTGACAAAAACTGGACATTTATTTTTTGTGTCAAATGTTAAATGTAAGCAGAATTGAATCACACTGATTCAGAGGGAATGAGGAGAAACACATTAGAATACGACCACATTAGGGGCTGGGGTTGTGGCTCAGTGGTAGAGTGCTTGCCTCACATGTGTGAAGCACTGGGTTCAATTCTCAGCACCACATATAAATAAATGAATAAAATGAAGGTCCGTCAACACTAAAAAGTATTAAAAAAAGAAAAAAGAATAAGACCACATTAAAAAAAATCTCAACAAGAAGTCCTTCTTAACCCCAAAATGGATTTTTCTCTCTTTCTTACTCCATATTTATATTTTTGAATATTCATATTTGACATTTTTTCCTTTTATATTTGATGAACATATTGGGGCTTCTTTTCTGCTCTGTCTTCATATCATTTTAATCCCATTAAGTGAATCCAGTTGGCTGTGGGTATTAGTGGTTTCTCTCACATTACTAGTGACCAGAATTGTATTGTTGTTGAATATTTCTGAGGGTCAGTACTTTTCCTGGCACATTTATTGGCACACATGCATTCGTTCTGCTGTAATGATGAGTTCTTAGAATTTCAAACCTAACACATTTACCATCAGCTGCTTAATAAGAGCTTTGTACTTGGCTTCTGCTTTTTAAAAATCATTTCTCTTCCATGAGAGTGACTCTAGTCTTCAAAGAACACTGTCATTGACATATGAAATCAAACCTGTGGTTCAGTTTAAGCATTTTCTGTGTTAAAGACAAAAAGTGGATTCAGCTTTAATCATTTTTGAGAACATAAAAAATAGTAAAACATGCACATTTTCTTCATCTTAACTCACAGTTAATACAGCTTTCATGACTTACTTTCCTTTCATTTCAACCCTCAAGAGTTATTTTCTTTTTGCTCTGTTTGCAGTTATCATAAGTTTACAACAGTGCTTCTCAAACTTTAGTGGACAACAGAATCCCCTGGGAATCTTGATAAGATGCAGATTCAGATTCCATGGGCCTGGGTGGGCCTCAGGTTCTGCATTTCTAACAGACTCCCAGATGCTGCTGCTGCTTGTCTTCAGACCATATTCTGAGTAGCAAATGTTTATATTTCTGTTATTTTAATGCACATTTAACAAATCTGCTTAGATTTCAGGTTCTCATGTATTAGTATTAGAATGAATAATTTAATGTATATAAATACTGAAAAAAAAAAACCCCAACTACACCTCATGTCCCTTTCTCCTAACCCTTTGGTGTCAAGTAGGACAAGACCTAGGCAAAGACATTCAGCACACATGCTTTGCTCCCCTTTTCTCCCCTAGAGAAGTTGTTTTAATTTGGTTAAAAAATATACTATTTTTACTTGTGAAGTGATAAATACACATAAAACTTACCATCTTAACCATGTTTAAGTTCAGCATTATTAAATACATTCATATTGTTGTGCAGCTATCACATCCATCCATCTGCAGAGCTCTTTTATCTTATAAATGGAAACGCTACCCATTAGCAGTACCTCCCTCCCATCTGGCAACCACTGTTCTACTTTCTCTATGAATTTGACTACTCTAAGTACCTCATCTAAGTGGTTTCATGTAATTGTCTCTTTGATTCTAGCTTATTTTATTTATCACAGTGTTTTCAAGTTTTATTTTATCTTGTGGCATAGGTTTGAATTTCCTTTTTAAGGCTAGATAATATTCCATTATTGGTGTGCACACACATCCACTACATTTTGTTTGTCCATTTTTCTGTTAAAAGACACTTGGGTTGCTTCTAATTTTTGACTATTGTGAATAATGCTGCTGTGAAAATGGTTGTATTGGGCCATTTTCTGTTGCTATAAGAAACACCTAAGGCTGGGTAATGTATAAAGTAAAGAAGTTTAGTTAGCTCACACTTTGGGAGGTTGAAAGTCTAAGATTGGGCAGCCTTAATGCTTCAGCCTCTGGTGAGAGCCTTTTGTCTATCTCACAACATGGAGGATGACATCCTGATGAGATCCTGTGATAGGGAGAACAGAGTCACACACCAAGAGGGATTCAGGGTCCAAGCTTACTCTTTTCATAACAACTTAGAATGATATTGGTTCTTTCAAAAGGTGGTGCCTCCAATGATCCAACCAACTTCTGCTAGGCCCCACCTCTTAAGGTTTCTAACACCTCAAGATCACCACAACGGGGACCAATTTCCCAGCATATAAACTTTGGGGGACACACTATGTTTAAACTGTAGCAGCATGCAAAGATCTCTTTCACCCAGTCCTCACTGACCACTTCACCTGCTTCTTGTGTTTAGGAACTGAGTTTTCTCAAGTATACTCTCTCTCTCTCTCTCCCAATCTGTCCCTCGTCCCTAGCATGTGGGACATGTCTGCTAAACACTATCATTGTCCAGAGAGGCTCCAATATCAGTTTTGTACCTTTTAATATGAGTTTAAGGGAGTCTGCACTTAACAGTTTAACTCTGATTGTGTATTGAAAGGCTGTGACTTGTATTAAGACATAGCCCAGAATTTCTTAAGCAGTCTCAGAAGCGATAAAGAGCAAGACAATGACTGAAGGTCAAGATAAAGAATAAGGAGAATTTACAATTCCCTGTAGAATAACAAAGATATCACTTCATATCAAAGCTGGGGCTTCCGCAGGGACTAGAGTTATTACAAGGCCACCTGATTTTTATTAATTTTAGTTAAATTTTCTTTGTTTCTATTCTAGGTCTTTAGGGGTAGACTCATTTCCATAACTAGTATACAACTTGTGGGCCCGCTAGTTCTTGAGAAATATAAACTTGGGCCTGTGGCATCCACTTATTTTAATGATTATACTATGCTTTTATCATGCTCTGTGCCCTTAGTTCTTTTGGTTTCTAACCTGTTAGGTGTAAATCCATTTAGGGCATGTTGGACAGAGACTCGTGGAAGTAGGTCAGCATCTGGTGGAATGGTAAATGCATAATAATAATTAACATGTTACAGCCTTCCAATTTACAAGGCACTTTCACATATTCTCTCTTATATTCCCCTCATAAATTCTATAAAAATTTGATAAATGGCCATATTAAGAATTGAATCAGGCTGGGGTTGTGGCTCAGTGATAGAGTGTTTGCCTAGCACATGTGAGGCACCGGGTTTGATCCTCAGCACCACGTAAGAATAAGTAAATAAAATAAAGGTATCGTTCCATCCACAACTAAAAAAATAAAAAAGAATTGAATCTAATGTACAATTATAATGCACCAATAAAAACATTAAAAAGTTGAATTTACATCTCTGTGTTTGTGTGAACGTGTATGAGGGTTTTTCCAGCTGCAACATAACTTGATCCGGCTTAATCTATCTCTATATTTTAATGTGTAAATACTAAGTACATGTAATGCTTACATGAAAAACATAAG